CATGATGTTTTATTCTGAGTACTTTCGACATGACCACAATGTCATCCTCAAGGTGTGTTTTTATGACCAAAAAACGTAATTATCATAATTTCCAAAGGCATAATTGCTATGTTCATCTGAAAGTTATAATTTTACATGTGGGGTGAAGACCGCTAGCTTTTCTTCCATGCGATGTAAGTTTACACTTTTGGGGCGGTAACTAATTACGATGTGAGGAAACATAGCAATTGACTGAATATAATCATTCCACTTCATATCACTGGGAAAACATGATCCCAAGAAGACCGAACGAGTCGCTGTCCTGGGGGGTTAGTATCAGCCATACTGACGGAAAGCAGAAAAAGCTCTCTATGGTGATTAAATGAAAGAAGTTTTGTTTTGGAGGCTTTAGAATTCATATGTCACTCCTTGCCCCAATTAATTACTGATTACCGAATAGGGAATCTGATTAGAACAATTGTCATGAGGATTTTTAAAGAAAAGACATAGAGAAGCCACGTCATGGCGGTGGGAAATGTCTTTTTCGAGAGCAGCTGCTTGTTTTATTTTGTCCGACTTATGATGAAGGCAGGAGTACATATTTATGTCACATTATAACTGCCATAAACAGACAAAAATTGTTTTTATTACCACTCATGATGATAATAAAAAGTAAAAGTGAAAAAAGGGCTAGCTAACTAGTTTCGAACCTCGTTCAACAGAGCTAAATCTAGGTTAATAAACTAAATTATTTAAAAAAGAAAAATGGACAAAGTGTATTGGGGGAAAAGTAGATGGTAATTCGTTGAAGGCCTAATACAAAGTCCTTCTGTTTACATAGAGAAGGCTTTAACGATAGAATATAAATGGCCTCCAACACTTTTAGGTAGTAATTTGAGTGGGACCTGCTAAGGATGGTAAATGAGTCCACACTAAAACTAGCAGCATAATTATACAATTATAGCTATTTATTCATTTATTTATGTCACATTATACTGATTAGGTAAATGATGACAGTAGCTCAATTATATCACAACTAACGAAACTAAATCTATTATCACATGACAAATGTTAGAACCAAAGTTCTATACCGCGTACGACTGTGTCCGAGCTGCGATCAAAAAAGTTGGGAGGATCGGACAATATACGCGAACGTCATATACAGGGTCTCCCAAAGATCTGGACACATAGACAGAGACGCATATTTTCAAGAAATGCAATTTTCAAAACATCTTATCCAACTGGAATATTAACCAATAACATCTTCAATATGATTTCTATCATTTGTGATGCATAGGTTGGTGCGCTTTGCAAGATGCACGTCAACTCGATGCAGTCACTCGATATTGTGGTCAATTTTAATATCTTCATTCTTTATGCGTTCAATCAATCTTGCATCTGTGATTTTCATTGGGTACACCTTCTCCTTCAGTATACCCTAGAAAAAAAAGTTATTTTTTTCATTCTTTCTACAAAACCATGTTTAACCCTTTGATCCCTGACCGCTGCTTTACCGGTGGTAGTGAAAAATGACGTAATACCCAACCACCGGTTAAACAGTGGTAGAGAAAAATGACTTAATGCCCCGCCTCCGGTTGAACGGTAATTAAACACGTGTAACTATTTTTATGTCTACCGTGAAACCTTATAAACCAATTATTTGCGAATTTTGACTCCGGAGCTCAGGCAGAAGAGTTAAAATTGTTCAGGAACGCACGGCTCAAAGGGTTAGTTTTTTTGTTTTTTCTTTAATCCTCCAGACTAAGGCAGCCTTCTCGATGGAGTGGTCTGAGGTCGAGTCAATTTATGAACGCAATGCTCAAAGTGTTAAATATCTATTTTGTAAATTCCTTCTTCAGATTTAAGGTTTTTATTTTATTTTCTCTTAATTAAATCTGTTATTTTATCCGGTGTAGTTGTAATAAATTTTATATTAACTTCAGCTAAATGCTGTCTATATTTCTGAGATGAGGTATTGTGACTATTCACATTGTTTGAACTGTTGTCATCGCCTTTATTGTTATATCCACATAGTCCAGTGGATTGAAGTAATCCAGTGACTTGACTCAAACAGTTGTGAATTCAATATTTGATCCAGTGACTTGACTCAAACAGTTGTGAGTTCAATATTTGATCCAGTGACTTGACTCAAACAGTTGTGAGTTCAATATTTGATCCAGTGACTTGACTCAAACAGTTGTGAATTCAATATTTGATCCAGTGACTTGACTCAAACAGTTGTGAGTTCAATATTTGATCCAGTGACTTGACTCAAACAGTTGTGAATTCAATATTTGATCCAGTGACTTGACTCAAACAGTTGTGAGTTCAATATTTGATCCAGTTACTTGACTAAAACAGTTGTAAGTTCAATATTTGATCCAGTAACATGACTCAAACAGTTGTGAGTTCAATATTTGATCCAGTGGCTTGACTCAAACAGTTTAGCTGCATAAAACTTTGTTGACTTATTAAGACAAATACCACAGAAAAAGAATTCTTTTCTTTTCTTTCGACAAAACCATGTTTAATTTGTGGCGGTAAAAAATATAGTTAATGCGACATTAATGTTCAGACATTAGGGACACACTTTATTACGGTCTTTTTCCTTTACACTTTTGACCTCATTCGGAACATTTCCAAGAGAATTACTCTTAATAGAAGGCAAGGTGTTAGCGTAATGTTTTTCATTGTTTAGTCAGAATGTTGGTTTGGTTTGTTTTGCGTCATATCAACACCAATGAATTATTTAATGGCGACAACATTTTTTTTTTCCTGGTAATATCTTGTTTTGTCAAAAATCTATTTCTGGTAATATTTTTTCCTCAAAAATTTATACCTGGTAATATTATTTTAAAAAATATATTGCTGGTAATAGTTTTCTTCAAAAATATATTGCTGGTAATAGTTTTTCTTCCTTGAAAAATTTCTGGTAATAATTTTTACAAAGTATTTCTGGTATTAAAACCTATTTTTACACTTTCATAAACCTTTTTACCTCAGTTTCGGGGTTAACTATTTTCCCATAGCTGGGACCCTAACAGGTGCTACCACCCCGGGTCAGGGTGGACCTGGGAACACCAGCAATTAAGAGGTGGTTCCATGCCTCTCAAAACCTCCTGAGCAAAGAAGCCTTGCTGTTGGACGTAGTTTATCGCCATACCCTGGACGCGAATGCAGTTTATCGTCACACCCGGGACGGACCACAATCTTAACAACATTAGATATACAGACGACACAATGTTGATAGCAGACACAGAAAGGAAAGTACAGGAACTTCTACAAAAGGAACTGGAATAAAGTGAGAAAAAAAGGACTAAAGGTCAATTGAAAGAACAAAGAATGCGTGGTCGTTAGCAAAAGGGACGACCCAGCAAGCACTTTAAAATTTGGAAATAACAAAATCAAACAAGTACAACAATTTAAATATTTGGGATACGTTTCAACAGAGGACGGAAAGAGCGCTAATGAAATCCGAAGGAGCCATGGAGCAGTGAAAGATGCCTTCCGAAAGCTAAGCAAAGTATTAAGAAATAGGAAAAGTTCATTAGAAACAAAGAAAAGAGAAAGGAACTCTTATGTAATATCAGTCCTTCTATACTACAGGGAATACTGGGCCATTTTTATTACAGATAAAGAAGAGACGCAGATTTAGTTTCGTCATACACAGGGCGGCCAGAATGTTGGTTAGCATTCGTTGTCATGGTCTAGAATCGTCTCAAGCTATTCGTATCGTGGGGCGTTGGTTTAGTGCCTGTCTGGTTTTCATATAATGTACCTTCTTTCTTCAAACAGAATTAATTTGACTATTTTAATTATTAATTGAAGTTTTGTACTTTTTGAATTAAGGTTATATCACATGCGAGAAACGTTTGTTTCTTTGTAATTCTCTACTTTGCCTTCATTGGGTTTTTTCTGCTTTTTTTTTTCATGAATGAGTTTTTTTTTTTACTACTTTTTATTTCTTCAATTCATTAATTATTCCCTTTTCATTCTTTTTTTTCTTTTCTTTGATTTTATTTTATTTTCTTTCTTTCTTTTTCTTTCACTTTTTCATGCCTCCGCTTATTTTTCTATTTTTTTTTTTCGTTTTCTCTCCTTTCTTTTCTTCTTAGATTTTATTTTTTTATTTTCTTTCATTCTCTGTTTTTTTTCTTTCATCCCTAAAAATCTCTTTCTTTCCTTTTTTTTTTTTTTTTTTCCTTTTTTTTTTTTTTCTTTCATCCCTAAAAATCTCTTTCTTTCCTTTTTTTTTTTTTTTTGCTTTCCTTTATTCTTCCGTTTCTTTTTTTTTCATATTTTTTTTTTAGTTTCTATCTTTCCTTTCATCACTAAAATTCATTTTTCATTTTTTTCATTCGTTTTCTTTCTTTTATTGTAATCAACTCACCTCCCAAGCAAGGTGATAAGGCCACTAAGAGGCAAGGGCCTTCTGGGAGTGAAAGAGAATGAGAAAACATTAGAAGGAACCAGAAACCCAATCCTAAACAGGAAACAAGGGATAAACCTCTAATCCTGTTAAAAAAAACGAGGAGGAGAGTGAACCGGACGATAAGCGAAACTATCCCACCCTTTAATTTGGCATCTTCGTTTTTGGAGTCTGTCTATATTTCTGAGATGAGATAAAGGCGTTAGTTGGATCCATTGACAACAAACACCCAAAGAGTGTTTGAGTTCAATACCCGGTTAAGGCAGTGGAGAACTTTCAGAGGGAAATTAGCAGGAGATAACTAATAACTGACATCCATCAAACATGGCACGTGCAACTAGAACAGTCTACCCCAGTGAGCGAAATAAAGGGTTCAATTCTAAATTCCAATCACCTAAAGAAGGCCGGAGCGTACAACGGCCGAAACGTTGTGATAAATATGGCGACAAAGATGAGGACAATAGTGCGAATAATGTAAATAATCTTCGTTTTTGTTTTAGTATTTTTCTCTTTCCTTCTTTTTTTTCTTTTTTGCTTTGTTCTATTCTTTATCGTCCTTTTCTTCTCTCTTTTTCTTCATACCTTAAACTCGATGTATTATTTCTTTTCTATTTCTTCCTTTCTTTTTTCTTTTTCTTTCTTTGTTTTTTTTAATTTCCTCTCCCCCCACATCTCTCTCTCTCTCTCTCTCTCTCTCTCTCTCTCTCTCTCTCTCTCTTTTAGTTTTCATTCTGGGTTTCTCTCTCTCGTCTTACTCACCTTTTCCTTTCTGTTTTAGGAATTCTTTTTCTATCTTTTCCAACTATATATATTTTATTTCTCTATTTCTATGAAATACACAATCATCAAGTGGCCACTATCTCTTAAATGCTTCTCTTCACTCGTACTGACCCTCTATCGCTCACCAGTTTATAATAATTCAGTATTTTTTACATCTTTCTTTTACATCTTTTTTACATCTTTTTGCATCTTTTTACATTCTTCTTCCATTTTATCGTTATCTTTTTCATTTTCGTCTTCACATTTTTTTCCCTCTTTTTTTTTCACATTCCCTTTCTTACTATTTTTTTTTTCATTTTCATTCATCGCTTTTTCATTTCCACTTTTTTCCTTTAATTTCTTTTTCAGTGTCATTTTTTTTTCGTCGTCTGCTTTTTTCCATCTTTCATTCTAGTTTTTTTTCTTTCATTTCACTCACTTCGTTTACAAATTTTTCTTCTTTACTTTTTTTTTTCATTTTTTCTTCTCTTTTATTCGGTTCTTTTATTCTTATTTTTTATTCTTAAAGGTGAAATTATTCTCAACTTTTTTGTTCAACAAAATTAAGCAAGTGTGAAATTATGCGGCAGATAATTTAATCGTCAATTTCTCCCTCTTTCCCTATCTCTCCTTCTCTCTTTTGTTTCACTTCAATTTCGTCTTCATTTTGTCTTCGTTTTTTTCTGTTTATTTCTTCTTTATTTTGTTATTTTTATTTTATTCCCCCTCTCTCTCTCTCTTTTTTTTCTCTCTCTCTCTCTTTCTCTCAGTGTCTCCCTTTCTCCTTCTAATTCTTCTTTCTTTTGTTTTTAGTTTTCTCTTTATTTCTTCTTTTGTTTATTTTAATTTTATTCTCCTCCACCTCTCTCTCTCTCTCTCTCTCTCTCTCTCTCTCTCCCCGTTTCAATTCTAATTCTTCTTTCTTTTTTCGTTTTTTCTCTTTTTTCTTCTTTCTTTGTTTATTTTTTATTTTCTCTCTTTCTCTCTCTTTTCTCCCCTTTTTTTTTTCAAATTTTTATTTTATTTATCTCTCTTTTCTCTTCCCTTTCCTTTTTTCTTCTTTATTTTTGGCGTTATTTTTTCTCTCTCTCTGTCTGTCTGTTATCTGTCTGTCTCTCTCTCTCTCTCTCTCTCTCTCTCTCTCTCTCTCTCTCCATTTCAATTCTTTCTTTTTTTTTTTTTTTTTCTTCTTTCTTTATTTTTATTTTATTCCCCCCGTCCTCTCTCTCTCTCTCTCTCTCTCTCTCTCTCTCGTTTCAAATGTAATTTTTATCTCCTTTTTCTTTGTTTTCTTTATCTTTTCTTTTCCTTCTTTTTTTATTTTATTCCCCCTCTCTCTGTCTCTCTCTCCCTCCCTTTCTCCTTCTAATTCTTCTTTGTTTTGTCTTTATTTTTTCTCTTTATTTCTTCTTTTGTTTATTTTATTCTCCCCTCTCTCTCCCTCTCTCTCTCCCTCTCTCTCTCTCACACACACACTCTGTCTCCCCCGTTTCAATTCTAATTCTTTTTCTTTTTTCTTCGTTTTTTCACTTTTTTCTTCTTTCTTTTTTATTTTATTCCCCCCTCTCTCTCTCTTTCTCTCTCTCTTTCTCTCTCTCTCTCTTTCTCTCTCTCTCGTTTCAAATGTAATTTTTATCTCTCTTTTCTTTGTTTTCTTTATCTTTTCTTTTCCTTCTTTATTTCTATTTTATTCTCTCCCCCCTCCCCCTCCTCCCCCTCTCTCTCTCTCTCTCTCTCTCTTCTTACTTTTTACGTATCAAAATTGTCTTCTCTTTTTCTTCATTTTCTTTTCGTTACTTTATTGCCAAGCAATTCGACGCCGTCAGTTTTCAGATCTTGCGTGTAGAAATTATTGTACAACGAGTAATCTTTAACGTCAAATCGATTACCGAGCGGAACAGGCTTATAAACAGTCTGGTGATCGGTAGAGGGTGAGGAGAGGCATTTAAGAGATAGTATTAGCGGCCGCTTGATAATTGTGTATTTGCTGCTGTTTCGCTTGTCTACGCTTCAATGCTCACGGAAATCTTTACTTTTATCTTGGGCGTTATTCTTGGCGCTGGTCCCGAGGACAGTTTTCTTCGACTGTGGTACCCGGCGCTTGTAGCAAGACCGATTCAAAAAACCAAAAAAGAAAGGAAAATCTGGCCCCAGTCCAATCAGGCGCGTGATTCGCTGCCGAGTTATAAGAGTGCAGCTGCAAACTTTAAGGGTTGCTTAACAAGTTCCTGTGAACAATTTGGGGAACAGCGGACAGGTGGAGAGTAAGGATTCGATTATAGGAGAGTAAGGAGGAGACCAGAAGAGAGGAGAGTTTGAGGCTTGTGAATAAGTGAATGCGCACGTTTTTAAGGACTATCACATCCTATAGAAGAGTCCGCCATTTCAAACGGGGCTCAAGTGTTATCAGTAATGTTTGCCATCTACTTATTATCGAATGACCAACGAAATCAGCCTCGATGATCTTGATTCTCTCACTCCAGCATTCGTAATTTACGTTTTAATCAGAATTATATAAACGGTCAAAGATATATAGATAGATAGATAGATAGATAGATAGATAGATAGATAGATAGATATGAACAGAATGAAAATATAAATAGATAGATAGATAGATAGATAGATAGATAGATAGATAGATAGATAGATAGATAGATAGATAGATAGATAGATATGAACAGAATGAAAATATAAATAGAAGATAGATAGATAGATAGATAGATAGATAGATAGATTGAAAAAGATTAGATATTTGAACAGAATGAAAATTATAAATAGCTAGCTAGCTGAGATAGATAGATAGATAGATAGATAGATAGATAGATAGATAGATAGATAGATAGATAGATAGATAGATTGAAAAAGATAGATAGATAGATAGATAGATAGATAGATAGATAGATAGATAGATAGATAGATGGATGGATAGATAGATAGATCTTCATAAAACGTCTTGAATCAATCATAGACATTTCTGCAAAAGTAATAATTATCTATTCTCTTAATTCACCTATTTTGCTCACCAATTCATAAATTACATTAGAATAATATAAAACCAGTTTTGTCCAATTGAATATTATTTAAGTTTTGAGCAAGCCATAATAAATGCCGCTACATTTTATTAATTAAAAAGGACAGTTTTGTAATCGCAGAAAAATGTTGTCCTGAAAAGAACAGTGTTGTAACCGAAATAAAAGGACAGTTTTGTAGAAAAGTAAAAGGACAGTTTTGTAGATAGAAAGGACAATGTTAATTGAAAAATAAAAGACAATATTGAAAAATAAAAGATATTGAATTGTTGAAAAATGTTGTCCTGAAAAGGACAGTGTTGTTACCGTTGAAATGTGTTGGCTTGAAAAGGACAAAACGTCTTGTCTTGAAAAGGACAATTTTGTAATTGTTGAAAAATGTCCTCCTGAAAAAAGACCCTTTTTCTGCAAAAGTGTCGTCCTGAAAAACTCCCTGAACCGTCGGTGCGCTGGTCTCGGTGGCGAGCACGGACTCAACATTCTAGTAGAATAGTGGTAGGGGTCGACCTCTGCCTGACGACAGAGGCGAAACTGCGTGATAATAATCTTAACCGGCATGATCCAAGGTATCGTATCCGCGGAGAGTCATTCTCTTAGGCCTTTTCATATGCTGAATGAGTTTTACAAAAGTCGCTGATCCAAAAAAGCGATGTTTCTCCTTCCCTTTTTTTTTTAATATAGGCGTTTTGACAGAATACGATAGTCAGATTTAATCTCATGTTCTTGTTGGCCTTTGTAATAATAATATTATACTACACTTACTTCTTGCGAGTTTTACTGAAAAAGTTCATTGAGCGATGGGTCGATATCCAACATGGATTCCAACCCGCAAATTCTTGTTGGTCGAACGGAGATGGACAGTTTGCGTTTGTATTCTGTTTTGTAAAAGCCTTCTCTGTCCTTAACCAACGTTGCGACATCCGTTACTTAGGGTAACGGGTATGACCAGCTATGACCAGCTTAAAAGTTTGTTGTCCTAAGAAAACCAGGACAGTTTTTAAAACTGACATCATATTCAGTAATTTGGGCTGAAAATATATATATATATATATATATATATATATATATATATATATATATTTAGTGTTAGTATGACCATCTTAGAAAATCAGCTTAGACAAGCTATGACCCGTTGACCAGAAGTAAGTTCCCTGATTAGAAACATTCGAGTCTACACGAAAATTGACATCATAATCTCCGAGTAATTTGTCCTAAACACACACACACACACACACACACACACACACACACATATATATATATATATATATATATATATATATATATATATTGGTTATTGTTATCTTTTTTCTAACCTTAACACTATTTCAATATTCGTATTTATTTATGTAATATTTCGTAATTTGTCTTACTTTCTAGTGTTTTTTTACATTTAATATATATATATATATATATATATATATATATATATATATATATATATATATATATATAAAAAGAAAAATTCGTTGAGCTTCTAAAATATATTTATATACGTACATTTTATATGTTTCAAAGATTGTCATAACCAATAATGGAGTGTGTTTATATATTGATTGTAATATAGAATTGATCACCCAATATCCACATTATAAATTTTTGTTTGCTTATCAAATACTGATCAGTTATTTCGTTTAGATTTATTTCCATTCTCTGAAATAAAATGTATAGAAACTATTGATTGTAATATAGAATTGATCATCAAAAGTTTGTTTATCAAATACTTCAGTTATTTCGTTTAGATTTATTTCATTCTCTGAAATAAAATGTATAGAAACTATAGTGACCAGAAAGGAGGGATCATTTTATATTGATTGTAATATATCACCCACTTTATATCCAAATTATAAATTTTTGTTTGTTTATCAAATACTGATCAGTTATTTGATTTATTTCCATTCTCGAAATAAAATGTCCTATAGTGACCAGAAAGTGAGGGATCAGTTTATATATTGATTGCAATATAGAATTGATCACCCACTTTATATCCACATTATAAATTTTGTTTGTTTATCAAATACTGATCAGTTATTTCGTTTAGATTTATTTCCATTCTCTGAAATAAAAATGTATAGAAACTATAGTGACCAGAAAGTGAGGATCAGTTTATATATTGATTGTAATATAGAATTGATCACCCACTTTATATCCACATTATAAATTTTGTTTGTTTATCAAATACTGATCAGTTATTTCGTTTTAGATTTATTTCCATTCTCTGAAATAAAAATGTATAGAAACTATATGACCAGAAAGTGAGGGATCAGTTTATATATTGATTGTAATATAGAATTGATCACCCACTTTATATCCACGGAAATTTTTGTTTGTTTATCAAATACTGATCATTATGTCGTTTAGATTTATTTCCATTCTCTTTTATAGAAACTATGATTAGAAAGTGAGGGATCAGTTTATATATTGATTGTAATATAGAATTGATCACCCACTTTATATCCACATTATAAATTTTTGTTTGTTTATCAAATACTGATCAGTTATGTCGTTTAGATTTATTTCCATTCTCTGGAATAAAAATGTATAGAAACTATAGTGACCAGAAAGTGAGGGATCAGTTTATATATTGATTGTAATATAGAATTGATCACCCACTTTATATCCACATTATAAATTTTTGTTTGTTTATCAAATACTTCGTTTAGATTTATTTTTTTCTCTGGAATAAAATGTATAGAAACTATAGTGACCAGAAAGTGAGGATCAGTTTATATATTGATTGTAATATAGAATTGATCACCCACTTTATATCCACATTATAAATTTTCTTTGTTTATCAAATACTGATCAGTTATGTCGTTTAGATTTATTTCTTCTCTAAAATAAAAATTATAGAAACTATAGTGACCAGAAAGTGAGGGATCAGTTTATATATTGATTGTGAATTGATCACCCACTTTTATATCCACATTATAAATTTTGTTTGTTTATCAAATACTGATCAGTTATGTCGTTTAGATTTATTTCCATTCTCTGGAATAAAAAATGTATGAAACTATAGTGACCAGAAAGTGAGGATCAGTTTATATATTGATTGTAATATAGAATTGATCACCCACTTTATATCCACATTATAAATTTTTTGTTTGTTTATCAAATACTGATCAGTTATTTCTTTAGATTTATTTCCATTCTCTGAAATAAAATGTATAGAAACTATAGTGACCAGAAAGTGAGGGATCGGATTGATAGAATTGATCACCCACTTTATATCCACATTATAAATTTTGTTTGCTTATCAAATACTGATCAGTTATTTCGTTTAGATTTATTTCATTCTCTGAAATAAAATGTATAGAAACTATAGTGACCAGAAAGTGAGGATCCTTATATATTGATTGTAATATAGAATTGATCCCCATATCCAATAAATTTTTTAAACTTGCGTATCAAATACATCCGTTATTTCGTTTAGATTTATTTCCATTCTCTGAAATAAAAATGTATAGAAACTATAGTGACCAGAAAGAGGATCAGTTTATATATTGATTGTAATATAGAATTGATCACCCAGTTTGCTTATCAAATACTGATCAGTTATTTCGTTTAGATTTATTTCCATTCTCTGAAATAAAAATGTATAGAAACTATAGTGACCAGAAAGTGAAATCATTTATATATTGATTGTAACTGAGAATTGATCATAATATCCACATTATAAATTTTTGTTTGCTTATCAAATACTGATCAATTTCGTTTATTTATTTCCATTCTCTGAAATAAAATATAGAAACTATAGTGACCAGAAAGTGAGGGATCATTTATATTGTATATATATTATATATTATAAATTTTTGTTTGCTTATCAAATATATTTCGTTTAGATTTATTTCCATTCTCTGAAATAAAAATGTATAGAAACTATAGTGACCAGAAAGTGAGGGATCAGTTTATATATTGATTTAATATAGGATTGATCACCCACTTTATATCCACATTATAAATTTTGTTTGCTTATCAAATACTGATCAGATTTATTTCCATTCTCTGGAATAAAATGTATAGAAACTATAGTGACCAGAAAGTGAGGGATCAGTTTATATATTGATTGTAATATAGAATTGATCACCCACTTTATATCCACATTATAAATTTTTGTTTGTTTATCAAATACTGATCAGTTATGTCGTTTAGATTTATTTCCATTCTTGAAATAAAAATGTATAGAAACTATAGTGACCAGAAAGTTAGGGATCAGTTTATATATTGATTGTCATATCG